AATTTAAATTTTTCACCTAAACATATAACTATTGACTTTGAAGTGGCTATACACTCAGCTGTTAATTAAATATGGCCTCTGTCAAAGAGGGTTGGATGTCGTTTTCATCTAACACAGGCRTGGTATAGAAATATTCAGCAGCATGGTTTAGCAACAGAATATAAAACAAATTCGGACATTGACAAATGGATTAAATACACTTTTGGTTTATTATATTTGGACACCGAAGAAGTATCTGATTGTTTTGTGGAAGATTTGATGCCAGAATGCCCAACTGATGATAGAGTCACCAAATATTGTGATTATTTAGTAAACAATTATATTTCCGAGGATAGTACATTTCCTTGTTTATGGGCATGTAATTCAGCGAGTATTCTGCTTACGACGAATGCGTGCGAGTCGTTTCATTCGTTCTTCAATGACTATTTTTATTCTAATTCTCCATCTATATTAAGTTGGTTAAATGTTGTGAAAAACTTGGTTCAAACTGATACGTATATCAAAATCAATAGCGTTAAWGTACCAAAGATATCAAAAGATGCGAATATAATTAAAAGGAAAGTACACAATCAGAAACAAATAACGASGTACCGCTCAAATRAAATTACTCGTTATGAATTCATAAAAAACATGTGTAATAATTTTAAAAATAAACTTYAGGTGGTATTAATAATTATATTTTGAACGATTAAAATCGATATTTTGTATAAGATATGTGTAAATTTTTATGACGTTAATTTGATTTTTTAATGATAAGTATTTATAAATGTTGTGTGGACTAAATTTTTAATGTGTTAAACTTTTGTGAAAAAAAAAAAAAACGACGTGTGTATAATTTTTGGAAAACAAAGTGGTGTTTTCTGGATAACGCTAAATGATACTCAAGTATTTGACTGAACTATTGCCAACTTAATTTTAAATTGGTCTAAACTACTCTGGGCGAAACGGGAATCATATAAAAACAAAATTTGGGCAAAACGGGTACCCGGGCGAAACGGGTACGGTCATTTTTGGGCGAAACGGGCTACGCCCATTCGCAGATAATCTGATAATTGGCTAATTAAACTATTGTCTGCCTTGCTTATCGATTCGCGCTGTTGCGCACGAGTTCAACTTATAGTCGCGTTGATCTCGTTAATTTTTATTACCGTACTGTGTGGTACGCGTAATAATTGTGAATTTTATTTTTCTATTCTTGGAATGGCTTGCGGGAATAGGAATGAAAGGTTATAATGTGACTCTCTTACCTTGATTCCTGCACTGAAAAAAAAATCTTGAACTTCATTGACAATTCTGTCTCATTAAACTTTAACAATATTTAAATTTGTCATCATAATAATGTTWTGTCATTCAAACAATATATTTGTTAAATTTATAATTGTTTTATCATGATAAGTATATATATTATTAGGGCTAGGATAGTATAGGATTTTGCATTTTTTTTTAGGATTTACAGGACATAACTTTTCAAGCACAAAATGTGATTTGGTCATATACGAGTCCAAATTTATAGTTTTTATTTTGCTTTTTTTGCATTTTTTGTACTTTTAAGGATTTAGGGTCATAACTGGAATAGTAGATTCAATTATTGCTCCAGTTATATTGTTGTACCCTGTATATACTAGACACCCTGTATGCGATATGTGCGTTCGCTGRATAAYGCAAWGGCCTACGTGACTGTGGGAAGTGCGTTGGTCAGCGAATTCGCCGTGCAAGGACCCGTACGGTTCCCACGGACGGGGCCGTGTCGGCAGTCGGAGTACGGACTCGAGTTAGACAGACCTCCATTGTGTAGACAGAAAATCTTAGTTATAAGTTTGAGTAGAAATAATAAAATTAGTGTACGTGAAGTAATTTAACTAGTGTTTTTATTTATAAATCATTAATTCCTGATTCCAACGATAATACGGCGTTAGCACACATCGTTTGGTGGCAGCGGTGGGATATCCAAAAGAGAACAACTGTTGTACTTTATTCTACGGCAGTGCAATTTTRGAGATCACTAACGAATCGACGTAAGCTATCGTCGTCGAAATTTAATTTCAATATCAAGGAATCGGAACAAACACTCGTAAGTGTTGTCATAATTGTCACACATAATATTCGTATTATACGCGTCGTCGCCGCCGCCAATACGTAGTAGCACAGACGAGGAGAGTTCGGTCGTCTTCGTCGTCGACGTCATCACCGCCGCCGGGACAACACGTTACCACATCATTCTACGAGACAGCGCTGCGTGCACATTTACAAGGAGAGTTCGGTCGCTGCCGTCATCGTCGTCGTGTGGACAGTGCCACCGCCCAGTTCCTGTACGCGTTGCCGCAAGGGAGTAGGGCAAGGTCAACGCCGCCGCGTCAGTGGGTCAGTATAACAACACCGTGCCATCATCAGCACCAGAGTTATCAAGTTAAACAGCAACAGTCGACATCAATCATAATACAACAATATTTATATGTCATCGTTTTGTAAGTTTTAATAAATATTATTATAATAATATTAGTAATATAATATATAGTAATATAGTATACAGTAATACTATTATTGTTGTACTCTTGTCTCTTATTAATGCATGTCGAATCCGGGGGAAAGCGATAGTGATAATTCAGATTTAATAGATTTATCTAGTCCGGCTAGTGATACCTCTAGTGGGGAATTATACATACCACACAAAGTTTTAAATAGGGAAAGGGACTGTTTAGATCCAACAGGGGAGAGTGTAGGTACATCTAGGTATCCATTACGAAGTCAWATTAGTTCAGAACATCTAGCAGGTACAGAGCATCTTTGCAAATCAGAGCATCCAACTAAACCAGAGCATCCAAATAATTCTGAGCATCCATCAACCCATTCACAGAATCCGAATCAACGACAGACTTTAAAAAGCATACAACAATCGAACACTATTTTACACGAAGTTCAAGCGACACTAGGTAACGTGGTAACGGGTCACTTCCCCGTCACCATTTCACCATCGAACATTTCCCCGTCCCCGTAATTTGTAAAATATTGTATAATAATAATAATAAAAATTAATACCTTATTTGTAAATTTTGAGCAATAATTATAATAATACAAATTAATGCTACTGGTATACGCTATTACAGGCACATAAAATAATTTGTAAGATGTTGTTAAATATTATATTTGTAAATTATGAGCAATGCCAATTAAATATTCATTGATATTACGTTCATGGTAAGAATTTACAATTTTTTTAATCCGTGTAGTTGTCTTCGTATATTWTTTCTTTTTAGCTACCTGTTCTTGCCCTGCTATTAATTGAATGATTTTTGCTTCCGTTGACCCTTGTTCTTTTTTTATTGTGTCTATCAATCGCCATATTGTTGGATGAGATGCACCTAACAATGACGAAAATGCTCTGTGCCAACCTTCGACGGAGTTGTTTGTTTTTGGMAAATCTGCAAGTGTTGCGTCGTATTGATTCCACAGTGCTAAACTAAATGTAGGTGGGCGTCGAGTTCTACGTCTATTTGGTCTGCYGATCCATGTATCTTCAAAGTAGTCTGTCAATGGAAACAATAGTTCTTCATTTTCTACAAAAAAACTTTGGGACATTAATTCGTCAAATTTTTCTTCGACGTCAGGTATCGGTACAAATGCTAAAGCCATTASCTGTTTTACATTTAAGGCAAAGTCAGCATTTGAAATATATTTTTCTCGTATTTCAGGGATACACTGTATTTTTCTCCATATACATTGCCCAAAATGAAAAAAGCAGCCTYTWATTCGGGTGTCCTTGAAAACGTCTGTAATTGCACCTAAAAGCRCTTGTTCAAAATCAACCATAACACTTGCTGGCCGTAAATTTTTTTCCAAATTTAGAAGTTCTTTTATTATCTTAGTATAACTATCACGTGTTTTATTTGGCACAAGTGCAAACACTAACGGTAATACTGTGTCGTATTTTATTGCATGGATTGTAAGAAGCTGAATAAAGAGTTGTGGGGATGACTTAAATGTACCATCAATAAACCAATGACACTGGTCAGATAATATTTTTAAATTTTCTTCAGTTGAAAACAATAATATTCGATTGATATCATCAGAACCACTATCATAGAGGAGGAAGRGTTTATTGTTTAATKTGAATGTATACGGGTCAATAATAGTTATTTCTGATAACGTTGACRGATTTACGGGAGGKGCATTTTTACAACGCCTTAGTCTTTGGAYCGTTTTCTTCATTGTGGCTACTGAAGGTAAAGCGCCAGAAATTGCTTGAGATGATATAGTAGAAATAGTATTAGTAACTATTTGATGAGGAGTTGAAGTTACTTGACTGGATGCTGTCTWTTTCAACTCGTTAATAATAGTTTTAGTACTAATTTCTGTTATGTTGGGTGTGTGGTTGTGAGTGTTTTTATGCAGAATAACTTCATCATTTACTGTATGTGCCCGTCCACGACACTTGTACATATTATATTTGATGCATTTCCAATATGTTTTTTCATTTTTCGTATAGTCCTTTTCAAAAATATATTCCGAATGTACTAATAAATTTTTTCCTTTGGTACTTTTTACGTAAGTCATTTTAAAATAATAAWAAAAAAAATAGGTTTACTGAAAAAATCTAATGTACGTATTACGAATGTGACGGCGTATAACGAAAATAATATAACGACGCGACAGTTATCGAGACACTGTTAARCTATTTCAATTTGTTAGTTTTACTAATGCATACCGGATCCGTTTAATATCTTTTCGATTGATATCGTACATCGATAACGTGCCAATATCTTTATAGGTAATTTATATTTGATAAAACCTATAAGAATAAATATATATCTAAGTTAATTTGTCCGTACAAGGTGCAATATAAGCTATATARACATTTATACTATCTTTATTTGTTATATTTTATATATATCCTTCTTTTGACGGAGAAATKCCCAACGGGGAAAATCGCTGGACGGGGAAACGGTAACGGGGAAATGTCTAACGGGGAAATGTATTACGGGGATCCGTCCATGAATCGGTAACGTAGATATTGCAATCGRGCAGTCAACACAAGTACTCCGATCAAATAGAAAACCGACGTCAAATCAAGTAGTCAAAATGTCTAAACACATGTCTATAGAACAAGCACTAAAATTAATCCCAATGTTCGACGGGGAAAGTTCRGATTCAAATCATGCGTTCCAAAATTCCTGCGATTTTGCACTGCGAAATATTGACCCGAGTGAAAGAGAGAATTTTGTTAAAGGAATTACAAYAAGACTCACTGGTAAGGCATATCGTGCAATACGATATAAAGACATTAAGAAATATGAAGACTTGAAAACAATATTAAACTCAATGATTGAAAAAAAATTCACTTTATCACACTTACACACGAAATTATCGATGTTCAGATTAGCATACGGAGAAACGATACAATAATACGCGGATAGAGCAGAACAATTATTTTACGAAATTCTGGAAACATCAATATCTACGGGYAGACTAGATAACCCAGATGATATATCAAAAATAACAGCGATGCAGATCCTGACTGCGTTCACAGAGGGCCTGCCTYACGACACTAGGATAATAGTCAAGGCTAGAAAGCCGAACGATTTAAACGAAGCTGTTCAGATCGCAATCGAGGAGGAAACGTCACGCTTATCACAAAAGGAAATGCGTAAAAATAACATTCACCAGAAAGTGGATAATAAATACAAATCGAATCAAAATCATCCGACGGCATCTCACAGCAAGTCAAGTGGCGCGTGTTTCCTATGCGGACGAACAAACCACCAAGCTCGACAATGTCGTGCGTCAGAAGCAGAGAAAATTCGGTATAAAGAGTCACATCAGAAAGGAAAAACTGAACTACGCGATGTGAAAACAATTACATGTCGGTACTGTAWAAAACCAAATCATACATTGGAAGAATGTCGAAAACGMAAATATGTTAATGCGAAGAAAGAACAGGAAAAGCAAGCATCGGCATCGGGAAACGAATCAACACCGGGCCCCAGTGGCGGACGCCCGGTGGGACAAATCAAGAMAGCCACTCTCAACCTKCAGGGGTTCTCCTTTTCGAAGCAAAATTAGTGGAGAATCATGTCTCTTTACAAATACCACAATGCGTTCAGGGTAGTGCACACTTTCTACTGGACACCGGAAGTGATCTAAACATGATAAAATTGTCTAGCCTACTTGACGAGGTATTTGTCGACGAAACCCAGWTTTACCAACTGAAGGGAATAAATGAGTATCTAGTCCACACTCTTGGGTCCGTAACTTTGGACGTGCAATTTGGAACAAAGGTGCAACCAACGAACTTCCAAGTCATTCGGGACGATTTTCCAGTGCCTCATGAGGGTATTTTKGGCAAACCTTTTCTGGTTGACAACGGACTTATTATTGACTATCAAGCTTCGAGAGTCACGCAAACCAATGAAGAGCCAATCCAGGTGGCACCACGTACGGAAACCATAATAGCAATTAGCACAACAGCAGCGGAAGGCAGCACTTTTGTCATTMATTCCCAACCTGTCGGAGGAGAGAACATACGCTTGGGGAATGTCCTATCTACAGTCAGACAAAGACAACTGTTGGCAGTCGTAGTGAATGGCACAGAGAATCCAGTAACACTAMAACCGCTTCAGCTAGAGGATGTATCTTGTAGCGAGTACCAAGAATCCASGACGCTAGTGGCTACACATTCGCAAAAGGAAACGGGGGACACAAATCGTTTAAAACGCATTAAAGAGACATTACAGACAGCAGAGCACTTGAATCCCGAAAAATGCAACAGCTTATGGAACATATGCTGTGAGTTTACGAATATATTTCATTTAAGTGGAGACACTCTTACGTCCACAACTACCATACATCATGAAATTCGTACCCCGGAGAATGCTACACCTATTAATGTACGTCCCTATAGGCTTCCGTATGCCCATAGACAAGAAATTATTAAACAAACSAAAGAGTTAGAAGAAAACAAAATAATACAACCTTCTGATTCTCCATGGAATGCACCACTAATCGTTGTACCAAAAAWACCTGATGCGCAAGGGAAACCTCAGTATCGTGTATGCGTCGATTTCCGTCGCCTGAATCAGATTACAGYGGGAGATGCATTCCCAATACCGCGAATAGACGAAATTTTAGATCAGCTAGGTCGTTCTCGGTACTATTCCACACTAGATCTGGCMAGTGGATAYCATCAGGTGCCGATACGGGAAGAAGACCGTCAGAAAAYTGCATTTTCGACGGACAAAGGACACTATAAGTTTATACAGATGCCATTTGGGCTGAGTGGAGCGCCCAGTACTTTCCAGCGTCGGATGAATTCAGTTTTAATCGGAATCAATGGTGTCAAAGCTTTTGWTTATCTTGATGACATTATTATTTATGCAACAGATTTAACGGATCATGAATCAAAGTTAAGGGAGGTATTTTCTAGACTTGATAAACATAATCTTCGCCTTCAAACATCGAAATGTCAGTTTCTCAGAAGAGAAGTAATATATTTAGGACATCTTATAAYWGACAAGGGTGTCGAACCAGATCCAGAAAAAATACGATGTGTCAAGGAACATCCAACACCTWGAAATGTGGTGGAAATAAAGCAATTCTTGGGTCTTTCAGGGTATTATCGTCGATTTATCAAAGACTATAGCCGAATTTCAAAACCTCTTACTTCACTCTTAAAGAAAAACGTACCATTCAAATGGACGATTGAAGCTCAAACCGCGTTTGATATGTTAAAAGAAAAATTAATTAACGCTTAAATTCTACAGTACCCTAACTTTGAAAAAGAGTTCATTCTGACCACCGATGCAAGCCAATTCGCGATCGGTAGCATATTATCCMAAGGTATTCCAGGACAAGATCTCCCAGTCGCCTATGCTTCTAGAACACTCAACAAAGCAGAACAAGCCTACAGTACTACTGAGAAAGAGCTATTGAGTATAGTCTGGGCAGTCAAGCATTTCCGTCCATATTTGTTGGGACGAGAGTTTAAGATTTTCACTGATCACCAGCCACTAACGTGGTTATTCAACGTCAAAGATCCGGGATCTYGGCTGATGAGATGGAGATTGAAATTAGCGGAATACAATTATGAAGTAGTATATAAACCCGGAGTAACCAATACTAACGCGGACGCCCTAAGCCGCATCGCTGGAGTGAATATAATAAGGACCAGATCTCAGACTTCACAGGAGGATAAAATTATAACCCTAAAATCGTTCGAAGAATACATGAAAGACCCAGTTAGTCAAAATGTGAAGAACTCAAATGTACATGAAGTTTCGAGAGATATCTTTGAAACCCCCGAAGAATTTCATTTAGTTCATTGTGTATCAGGAGACCTTAAATTAAGCCGAAGGATAGCCCTAGAATTCCGAAGGAGATATGGTCATATAGAGAAACTAAAGCAACAGCACCCGAAGAAAACAGAGATAGCTTATTTCAAGTTGRGATCACGTTACATTTTGAATTTGGTGACAAAGGAAAAATGTTGGCAGAAACCAACTCTTCAAGATATCTATGAATCTTTACTGAATCTGAGAAGATTCTGTCAAGAGGTCGAAATTAAAAAGCTAGCCATGCCGCGTATTGGTAGTGGCTTAGATCAGCTGGATGAATCTACCGTACTASAGATGATAAAATACATCTTTCAAAACTCCGGCATTTCGATTCAAGTAATCTCCCAGCAAAACGCTTCCAAGCTGGACAAACATGCAATAATCCATGAACATCATGCCACGGTCTTAGGTGGTCATCGCGGTATACAACAGACAATAAAACGAATCCAGTGCCAGTATGATTGGGAAGGGTTGAAACAGGATATTACCGAATTCATTAACAAATGTACTTCATGTCAAGTAAATAAAATTTCTAACCGTAACACCAAGGAACCCATGATAATCAGCACCACAGCGTCTGAATCATTCGAGAAAGTATTTATAGACGTTGTGGGTCCATTAACACGAAYTTTTGATGGTAACGCATATATACTGACCATGAAATGTGACCTGACGAAATTCTCAATCGCAACACCCATGGCCAATAAAGAGTCAAACACGGAAGCATACCATTTTGTGACCTCTTTCATATGTATTCATGGGATGCCTCAGAGACTGGTAAGTGATCAAGGTACCGAATTCCTCAGTCGAGTTTTCACGGAAACATGCAAGCTTATCGGCATAAAACATTCCACGACGTCACCTTACCATCCTCAGGYGAACGGGGCACTTGAACGGAGCCACAGAACCCTAGGRGAATACCTTCGACATTATGTAGATGTCAACCAGCAAAACTGGGATTCGTACGTCCCGTATGCAATGTTCGTGTATAACTCATCGGTGCATAGCTCTACGGGTAAACAACCTTATGAGTTACTATATGGCAAGACCTTGCTGGTGCCCAATTCACTGACAAAAGCCCCAGACGCCCGCTATAATTATGATGTCTACCAAACAGAAGTTAAGGGAATCCCACCAGATCGCCCGAGAACGCCTAATTCAAAAGAAACAGAAAACCAAGCTCGACTACGACCAAACCACACAATCCGTTGACATTCATGTAGGATA